GCCAGTAGTTGCTTTGGCAGTGTGCAAATAGCCACCCTAGGGCCCCCCTCAGGATTAGGGGTGTGCAAACTGGCAGCACAGACCACCCACAGGAAAGGGAACCTGAGGCGGAGGCCTGGAGATGGGCTTGGGGCCACTGGACCACCACTGGAAATACTTCTGTGCCCTTCACCTAAGAATCCTTTGGTTAGTTCTTTTCTGAATTTGAGAACCAAGGAAAACTCAACTCTGCTGCCAAGCTGGTTTCTGTAACGTGTAGGGTTTCTCCTTGGATCTGGGCCACCTGGAGGTTCAGGGCTCAGTCAGGGCCTATTTGCAGAATAAACAGTTCATTTATCAATCTGGCATTTAGTCTCAGTTTTCCATCTCACTACCCATATATGTTTTCATACACTTTTTTCACGGTAGCATTAATTATAAGTAAATGACGATAGTAATTATACACACAAGTAATTGCAATCCCAGAGACTGGTATTTGGCCAATAGTTCCTTTGGGAATGTGCACACTGGAAGTTTTTGTTTTGTTTTCTTTGTTTGGTGTACTGTAATTTGGGGGCAGGTAGCAAGAAGACTTTAAATGCATGTCAGATTTTGCTACTACAAAATTATAGCAACTTGCTGAGAGTCTGTTTCTAATCTTTGCAAATAAACACGTGCCATGTCTTCATGGCCCTCCCAACTCTACTGTAAGGATGCCATAAAATGTTTTAAGGTATACAAAAAGGTGTAAAGTACAGGGCAATGACTTTACAATAATGCCCAGTGCAGGGGTCCAGCATTAACAACGACCGCTGAAGCTCTCTGAATTCCCTCCCAGATCATAACCCCTCACGGTCCCCAGAGGTAGCCACGATTCTGAAGCTGGTGTTTCGTCACCACTAAGCCTTAAAAAAAAACACTTGTACTATATGTGTAAGTATGTACCTTCAGAATAAGTAGTGTTGTTTTGTGTGTTTTTAGACTCTAAGTGGTATCATGGATTTTTGCTTATCTTCTTTGCTCAAAATTATTGATATATCTCCCTTTGTTTCTATAGCTCACTGAGTTCCAGTGTTTTATTCCATTGCTGTCTCTCCTGCTAAAGTGTATCTCAGGTTGTTTTTATCTCCCTGTTACCCCGGATCACTTTTATTGAAAAAGCTGTTATGAACATTCTTTGCACACATCTGGGATTTAATATATCTTAAATTACAAATATAAACATGTATGGAAAACTGAGCTTTTCAGACACTGTTCCAACATTAAGCCATTATTTTCAGATTGATTTACCATCATTCATATTTGATCCTTTGTAATGGCCTCGAAATGAATTTTTATAATAGGAAAACACAATCCAGAGAGGGATAGATGATTTAAAAACCAGAATTCCGGAGTTTTTGAAAAGTAGCAAGGAATTTACCTAATCAAACATCTTCATTTTGTTGAGAAGGAAACTGATTCCAAAATGGGGAAGGGACTTGCCCCTGGTGAGCAGTGCGCTACAGACTGTGGAGCCTACACGGGACCTCCACCGTGGTGGACACACATTTGAAATAAATATAAAATTTAAAAGTCCCCTGGCTTTCCCTTCTGTTCTCTAAGGTCCATTAAGCAGTGCTGCATGGCGTGTGGGCCGCTGTGCTCCCCTGGATCGATTCAAACTACATTTTTCAAAAGTCAATTTCACCCCAGTTTTTCTGAGTAGAAGCAAAGATCCAGAGATAAAATAGATTTTCTAATCAGATGTAATAAGAATAATTTGATTCGCAAAGAAAATGAAATCACAAAAGAAATTAGAGTATTAATATATTTGGAAGAATTTCTCAGAGCAAGGATGAGGTTTTTTTAAAGTGTCATGCCTACTTTTTAAAAGATCTTATTTATTTATTTTTAGAGAGGGGAAGGGAAGGGGAAAGAGAGGGTGAAAAACATCTATGTAAAAGAGAAACATGGACTGGTTGCCTCTCGTATGCACCCTGACCTGCAACCCAGGCATGTGCCCCCACTGAAAATTGAACCAGCAACCCTTTGCTCTGTGGGATGACACCCAACCCATGGAACCACACCGGTCAGGGCAGGATAAGTTTTTGTAATTGGGAAACTATCGGTCTCTTGGAGAAGAGTGAATTTTAAAAGCTGCCCTTCATTTGGTGAGCTTCCACAATAATTCCCTCTTTGAACAAATATCAGTCAGGTGGCCCTGGGTCCTCTTCTCAACGAGTCCTCATTTCTCCTGCAGTCCTTGGAGGAGATCACCAAGAGGACATGACCATCAGCTGACCTAAGCACTGGACTCAGGCAATCAGAGGCTCCTCACCCCCGCCGCTGTGTCTGACATGTACTCTCCTCCAATGTTCCCACAATGCGAGCCATTTTTAAGGGGTCCCCACTGAGAGAGTACAGGGTCGTTGTAACCATCTGGATGGTATATATAACTGAATGCAGTTAAGGCCTCTATCTAAACTTTCTTAAGTTTTGGCAGGTGGGTGTGGAAAACTCTCCATCTTGTGGCTAAGATGAACCTCGTAAGTTCCCTGCTCATCAAAACTGCCACCTGTGAACCTGGAGCGGTCCCCTCTTTCTTTGGTCTCTCCTTGCCCTCTGTGTACAGGGTCCAGTTTCTGATTCCACTCAGGAAGCTCCTGAGGTTGCCAGCAAACACCTACAGGGTCCAGCTTAGTAAGAATCCCCCCACCATTCATCCTAACCAAGTTCCTCTTAGCGATTTTTCCATTCACTGACCCCCTGACTCTTCCCTTTGGCTATAAAATCCCCAACCACCCCTGTTACATTCTGAGCTGAGTTCAATCTCTCTCCCTGATTGCAGTAATATTTTTTAAAAATTTTATTTATTTGTCTTTAGAGGGGAAGGGAAGGAGAGAGGGAGAGAAGGAGAGAAACATCAATGTATGGTTGCCTTTCATGCGTCCCCTTCTGGGAACTGGCCTGCAGGGAACCTGCCTGCAACCCCAGTATGTGCCGTGACTGGGAATCAAACCACGATTGTCTGGTTCACAGGCCCACGCTCAATCCACTGAGCTATACCAGCCAGGGCCCGACTGCAGTAATCTTGAATAAAGTCTCCCTTACCTGTTTCACTTCTGTGTGGTGTAATTTTTCTTAAACAGATTCATCTTTCAATGTCAGATGGTCACTGGGTCACATATTACCAATGGCCCACGATTAGAATAGCCATGTCTTGGTTGGACTGAGTCTCCATGCATGGTGGACACAGGAACAGAATCATCAATGCTGCCTCTTTCCACTCTCTGAAGTATCCTCGTCTGGACAATAAATCTTATGGTTACCCACACATGGTGCGAAATCTATTGGCCAGAGGCCCTCAATGACAGGGGAACCTGCTGGACTCTAAAATGGTGCTACAACCCTGACCAGCATGGCTCAGTTAGTTGAGTGCCCTCTGCAAAATGAAAGGTCACAGATTCGGTTCTCGGTCAGATTCCTGGTCAGGGCACATGCCTGGGTTCCAGGCTGGTCCCAGTTGGGGCAAGTGGGAGGCAACAGATCAATGTTTCTCTCTTACATTGATATTTCTCTCCTTCTCTTTCTCCCTCCCTTCTCCTCTCTCTAAAAAAATAAACAAAAACAGAGCTACAGCAATTACAAAGGACAAAAGAGAGCAGATTCATTAAATGAGGAAACTCTTTTTGATCCTGACTCCTGAGGTATTGTTACATGTGATTAATAACATTTCATGTCCAAATTAAAATGTTTCTCCACAAGGAAAAATGATTATTTTCATCACATCTCTCAACAATGTCCACACATCTTCTTTATTATGCCTTTCCTTTGATCACTACAGATGGCTTTGTCACAGCTCACTCACCCAGAATGCGACAAGCATTCCAGAGTGGGAGGGGAGGAGGAAGGGAGGGAGGAGACAGAGAGACAGAGAGACCAGGAAAGTGATATGGGCCTTAGGAAAAACGGATGAGACTGGGGAATCAATACTGAATTCTCTGGCGAACTGAATTAAAGGATTGAAATGAATTTATAAAACAACAATAGGAGCTAATATGTCCTCTTAACAAGTGGGGACACATCAAGACTGAGCTGGGGACACATCAAGACTGAGCATTGGAAAATGCTCAGGGAAAGTGGGAGAGAAAAGCCATGGTAGTATGTCCTGCTTTTTTTTTAAACTTAGCAGTGCATTACAAAAGTGTACCAAATTATTCAACATGCCACCAAACTTCTGTGTGTCATGACTATGGAATACTCTATCAGATGGTAATATAGTAAGTTATTAACTATGTTTCATAAACATACATGTACACACACACACTACAAATAACACAAATGGCACCACTTCATGCCATTGTTTGGCACCTTCCTCTTCTTGGTTAGCTATATGATCTCGAGAGCTCACATGCACACACACAGACCTTCCTCAACTCTTTTTAATGCCAGGGTAGTACTGCACTGCAGAGATATATGCTGATTTTTTTCAAAACAACTCTTATTATTGATACCTTTAGGCTACTTATAGCTTTTTGCTATTAAAACAGTCCTACAGTAGTTGGCTATGACATACATTTGTGCATTTATGCAAGCATTTCTGAGGGATAAATCTAAAATTGCTGGATCAAAGGCAGTGTTCATTTAAAAAATTTGAATAGACATTGCCAGATTGTCCTCCAAATCATTACACAAATTTAACTCCCTCTCAACACTGCGTGAAAGTAAACTGCTTCATTTTAGAGTGGAGATAACGGATGGGACATGGTTGTGTGTGTCCGGACACTACTGTGGCACAACTGTAACGTGGGTCTCCCTCCATCCTTGCCTACCTCCCACTTCTTCCTTCCCACCTTTCCTGCCTTTTTCCTTTTCTTCCTTCTCTCTCTTTCCCCTCTTCTTCCTTCCCTTCCTTATACCTCATTGCTTTTGTCCAATGGGAGAAGAGACAGAGGGAAAATTAATGTGAAGGCTAGTGAAGAATTCATGGGGCATTTAGAGAAATGGAAGGAATCGGGGAATGGGCTTCAACTGCAAGCAAAGTACTGGCTTCGGCAGCACATACACTAAACTGGGCTGAGACAGAGATTAGCGTGGCCTCTGCACAGGGATGAAGGGCAAGTTCGTGAAGTGTTCCATACTTTTATGACAACCATGGGAGGTGATGGGTGTGTTAACTAACCTTACTTTGGTAATCACTTCACAGTGCATACCTGTATCAAATCACATTGTATGCCTTAAACCTACACAATGATATATGTCAAGTAGAGCTCAATGAAGATGGGAAAAAAGTCGGAAGCAGAATGGAATGGGGGTACCTGGAAGTCTATAGCATGTGGCAGTCAGACACACTGGGGAGGAGAATTTGCATGTGGGTTCCTAATCTTCATGGGCCCAACAGTCACCTGGGACACTCGGTAAAAATGCAGATTCTGATTAGATAGGTCAGGGTGGGCCTGAGATTCTGCCTTTCTAGTGGGTTTTCAGGTGATGCTGATGCTTCTGGTCCGAGACCGAACTTCGAAGAACAGGACTTAGCTGACAAATCCCACAGCCAGGAACAACAGGCAGGGGCATTACCAACCCCTGGGCAGGCCAGAGGGCATTACTGTTAAGTGCCAAGAGCGCCTCCTGCAAATTCTACAAGGCGGAGAAGTAACGAGCTGGCTCAGTCACCACTGCTTCACCCGTCACATTCAGCATGGCCCTCAACGGCACCCGGACCAAACGCTACATTCAGACCTGTGCTGATTTTCCCACTCTTTCAGGAACCCTTACCTTAAAATCAGATCATAGTGTATTTGCTTCATCTCCAAAACCTAGTAATAACTTCTGTCACATAGAGTCCTCCACCATTTCCTTGATTTATAAAATATCTGGTGTTGCTCACATTGTCCTAGGTTTAAGTGGCGATTGCCTGCCGCAGGTTCAGTCCTGAGGGTGCCAACAGCCTGCAGCTGGTGTGACTGAGGCCTCGCCTCATTATTTTCTATAGAGATGAGAAGAACAAAATGGGAACTATATCCCAAAGGCCCAGCATTAAAGTGGTTTCAGTATGGGCTTTACAGCATTGCAACTTCCTTTGGAGTTAAACTTCCCCACATTCCACTGATATGTTTTTTTGAATATTGTTATATTCCAGCAAAATTTGGATCGTTAATGTATGTTCAGGAACCAGGGCATTTTTATACTTAATTCTGTGGGACAATTTCTTTGTCACCAGTCCTTGTAAATTAAGGGAAATAGCAATGCTAACTTAAAAAAATTCATGAGTTTAAGTTGACAGGAACGCTTTTCACCTCTCTGCTCCAACCCAGGCAGTGTCTGATGCTGGGTCATCCAGGTTTTCCCTCGCTTGGTTCTGCCTGAGGCCAGAGCGACAAGAAGATACCAGGAGACAAGAAGATACCACGCCAAGGTGGGAGCAAGAGCTTGCATTCGGAGCCTTAGGCTAACTAGTTAAGGTACATTCTCCTTTTCAAAACATAATCAAAAGGACAGGACTCAGCACAGCACAGGTCTTCAAAACTTTGTCCCCAGTGGAGCTGTTGAATGTGCCCTCTACGTCCATACCTGGGAGAGGTGTTTGCATTCAAGAAATAGGTTCCACATGAGTAAAATGGTGGGTTCGGCCAAAGCCTGGGGGACGTGCGGGGTCTGCTCCATGAGTGATGGATGCAGGTTAAGGATACATGACAAAAGTTTCTGATGTGCTTGCATTCTCTTTAAAATTTGCTCTAATTAGTGATTATTAAAATATGATGATTAGCAATTAGGTTGTTTTTATGCTTAATTCATGACTTCATTTGCATTAAACAGTTCTAGTTGAGTAGAAAATCAGAGAAGCATAATGTTTTTTTGCTTTCTAAAAAAATTAGGCTGTTTGAGCTATATGTTTATAACCACCACACTACTGTCTGCCTGGTGTGTGAAAGAAAACAAACAGCTTTTGGAGAATTATCTTTAGATATGCACATGTTGAAAGCCATAAAAGTCTTTATTTATTGTGTTGATGAATTAAAAGAAATACGCACATGGGAGCGTAGGGGCCTGGCCCAGAACATGGAATGTCAATGTCAATGTTCTTTCCCAGCAAAGATGCTGAAGGTGTCGCTCCAGTTTCATGGAGAAGCGGGAAGCGTACAGCCATGGTCTGCTCTGAGACACACATCAGTTGGTTGCTTCTCAAATGCACTCCAATCAGGGACGGAACGCACAACTGAGGCATGTGCCCTGACGGAGAACTGAACCTGTGACTTTTTGCTTTGTGGGGTGATGCCTAACCGACTGAGCCACGTCAGTCAGGGCTATTCCTTAGAGAATTTAAGTCAAAATCTGCCTTCAGTTTTGCTCTTATCCCTTCTTCAAGGGTCACATGCTTTTAATTTTAAAAAAGAGAAGCAACCATTTAATTCTAATTAAAATCAACAGGGTGTAAATTCTCTGGGTAGCTCAAGTCTTAGCTTCGAACAGACCCCTAGAAAACTATGTGGCTTAGTTCATCATAGGACAGCTTTTTATCACCAAAGAGCCACCTACAGGAAATTCACATCTGCACTTCCTACAAAACCATTGTTGAGAATGTGACTTCAATACTATGCTCTATAAAACACATTATGTGAGAAGCTGTCTTTCTTGAGGAACTGGTAACACATTCATATTCTTTTTTTAAAAGGTTATTTATTTATTGTTATAGGGGGAAGGGAGGGAGAAAGCGAGCAAAACATTAGTGTGTGGTTGGCTGCCTCTTGCACCCCAACTGGGGACCTGGCCTGCAATCCAGGCATGTGCCCTGACTGGGAATCAAATTAGTGACCCTTGGGTTTGCAGGCTGGCACTCAATCCACTGCACCACACCAGCCAGGGCCACATTCTTGATAATGAGTATTAGCAATTGTGTCATGTTTTCCTGTTCTGTCTTGGCTTCCTGGAAGTTCAAAACCAAACTATACACTCAGCCACAGCAATTATGTTCACACATTGACATCCTCACTTTTTCTCTGATCTTCATTTTCTCTCTGTTATTCCATTAATATTGCACTTGATGTAATAATGGATTAAACGAACTTCTTCCAGGCATTAGAGGCAATCTCTGATCAGCAAAATATGCTATTCATATGCACCAACTGAAAACTTGCTTTTCAAATCCTTTCGACAAAGAGTTAGCCAGCACCAAGGAGCTGCTGGCAGGTGGGAGCTGTGTGTCACCCAGAACCTGGATGACTCTAGGCATAGAGTGAGCCAGGCTTGTCCTGCTATCTGTCACAGGTTACACAAAGCAGATAAGTTTGCTGACCACAGCTCAGGACATTCCCTCAGTCACATTTGTCCCACAGTTAGAGGTCCTTCAGGTGGCACTTTACAGTAGCATCTTGTTACATATAAGCGCCTTCCAGGGACTTGCACCTGCCCCTCAGGACCACGGGGAAAGCCATTAGAAAGTACTTGCGCCTTAGATAAGGAAAACATCTGTTATGGGCTGAATTGCTCCCCTCCCCCAAGTCATATATTGAATGTGACTCTGTTTGGAGACAGGACCTTAAAAGAGGTGATTATGATTAAATGAGGCCTGTAATGTGGGTCCTAATCCAATCTGGCTGGTGTCTTTGTATGGAATCTGGACACCCAAATGGACACCAGACATGTGCACTCGCAGAGAAAAGACCTGTGCAGCTTCCGTCGGCACAGGACGGCAGAAAATACCCTCTCTTTCAAATGGAGTTGCACCACTGTGACTCAGGGTCTTCCAGTCTTTCGAAGGTTCTGCCTGTTATTCTAAACCTGGCTCCAACCAGGATGCTCTCGCTGTTGCCTTTCCACACTCAGGTTGCACGAGGCTCAACACAACGGGGTTTAAGAAAAACAGCTGCAACTTCTGACTCTATCTCACCTTATTATGAAATTTCAATAACATCTGCTTCGATCATACTGTGGGAGAGAGCCCGCCTCTTCCTGAGGTCCCATGAGCCGGGAGCCCAGGTGTGCCTGTTTACACCACAGCTGAGAACTGAAAGGGTCGGGTGGCATGCTGACTTTTGTTTTCTGATCTGACAAATTAAAAACTACTGGAGTCAAAACTCAACAAATAGAGCGATAAACAGTAGATCTCCTGCTGAACCCGCAGTACCTAGTGGTATTCTCAGCATCAAACAAATTGTAGATATTTCAAAATAATAGAGAAATAGCTGTGTCCATTATTATAATTTTATCATAAATATGCTTAATTATTTCAAAATAATGCCTATTGCTCCCAGCTGGGAAAAGTACAGTTTTACTACAAGTCAGGCATGGTTTTAAAGGAAATCAAAGACATAACATTTTGTTTATGGGTCTAAATTTTTTTTAAAAAAAGAACAAGGAAGAATAAACAGGAGACACTAGGAATACTAAAGAAACCTTGGCAGTATGGACATACACACTGCCCAAGAAGTCCTTGAACTTGTGCCCCATGCAACCCCCCAACTCCCCAATCTTGGACATCTGTTTTGCAGTTGACAATAGCTAAAGAGGCCTCTTAGGCCTCTCTTGGGCCATTTGCTTAAAAGCAGGATTTCAAATTTGTGTAGAAAAACAACTAACAGAAGCAGCATTTTTCAGGGTCACTGGGACATCAGCTCATCAAGTCAGGGGCTGAAGGATGGCGATTGAAAGGGTAACCACAGAGATACGAGAAGGGAGGCATCTGGCATTTATTGAGTCCCCACTTAGTACCGAATAGAGCACTATTTAATATTTATGCTTATTTACTCCTCCATTTTCCAGGTGAACACACTAGACTTGGAGAGGCAAAGGGACTTGTCTAAGACCAGAGAGTAAGAAGAGCCAGTTGCGGACCCAATAGTTCAGATTCTTAAATCCGCCTTCTGTTCATTACAGCAATTTACCTGATACCTCCGCTGCCCCTTAAGTGGAACAAATTAAATCAGGGCATAAATGTGTTAAACCTCAGCTACTGCACACACACAGAGTGTTCAGAAAAACTCAAGAGAAGAGGTTTTTGGAAAGGTGAGATCTTGAGGGCACAGATGTGAGCAGGAGCCCGAGAAGAGGGAGAATGGCTAAGATGCCCAGCACGGCAATATTTCATTTCGTTCCTAAGAAAGAGAGAGCAAGAGGTGCCAGAGAACTGGGATGGTTCTGGGGAA